CCCTCTACTTAAAAGCCTGCACTGAATGCACATTTCGCTCAGAGTAAGAGCTTACGATGGCCTACAACAATCCCAACACCTTTGCCCTTTTAACTTCCTATGCTCCGGCTCACGGCTCACTCCACTTTAGTACACTACTCCCCTCACCATTCCTTGGCACACTCCTGCCTTCAGACCTTTGTGCTAAACCTCCTTCTGCCTGGAATACTTTTCTCCCAGGTGTGCATTTGGGAAAGCCTCACTCCAAGTTTTTCTCACAGTGTCCATGGGCTTACCTGGATCACTGTTATGGACTGAATTGTGTCCCCCAACAATGTGTGTCAATTTGGCTAGGCCATGATTCCCAGTATTGTGTGCTTGTTCACCAATTTGTCATCTGATGTGATTTTTCTACCTGTTGTATATTCTACCTCTATGATGTTAATGAGGCAGGATTAGAGGCAGTTATGTTAATGAGGCAGGACTCAATCTACAAGATTAGGTTGTATCTTGAGTCAATCTCTTTTGAGATATAAAACACAGAATCAAACAGAGAGACAGGGGGACCTCATACTACCACGAAGGCAGCTCCAGGAGCAGAGCACATCTTTTGGACCTGGGGTTCCCATGTGGAGAAGCTCCTAGACCAAGGGGAGACTGTTGACAAGGACCTTGCCCAAGAGCCGACAGAGAGACAGCCTTGTCCTGGAGCTGGCACCCTGAATTTGGACTTCTAACCTACTAGACTGTGACAGAATAAATTTCTGTTTGTTAAAGCCATCCACCTGTGGTATTTCTGTTATAGCAGCACTGCTAGATGACTTAGACAATCACATACTTAATACGTACTACAACCAGCCCACCTGCAACCAACCCCCCTTCCCTGCTCTACTTTTTTACCATAGAATTCATCATGAGCTAACATAATATATAATTTCCTCATGTTTATCATTCCTTGTTTTCCTCTCCCCTAGAATACAGGTTCCAGGATGGCCAAATTCCTGTATTCATTGATGTTTCCAAGCTCCTAGGAGAGTTCTTATAACATAGTATTTTGCTGAATGTTGAATAAAGGAACATTTAAAAATAGAATTCTTATAAATCTAGACTTTCTGCTGCTCTTGAAAAAAACTCAGAACTGGAAATACTGAGTCTAACAGTCTTGCAACTATAGCCGATGAACAGGAGTGCCTTGTTTAGACAAGGCAGACCCATTTCAATTTTCCACGGTCACCACCATTCCCAAGTATAACAACTAATTTAAGATGAAGACTAGAGAAAATTTATGAGATTTTTCTTTCTTAAAACCAACAGTTATTTTCTTGGTGAGAAGACAACAGGTAGCCCCAAGGACTATGACAAATTAGAGATTTAACTGCCCAACCTAAAAGGAGGAAGCCCCTACCTGTTTCTGGTTACCTAACAAATTCCAGTAAAAATTTGAGTCTGCAACTCCAAACTGAAATCCATTTGCCAGTACTTTAGAAATATTAATTTATACCCAAAGAAGATAACTATAATCCAAACAGTGTAAATGTAGTATAAAAATAGTCAACAGTTAAACCAGTGCTTTACTGGGCTAAAGTCAACAGTCCTATTGATTAAACTGAGAACGTAATGTTGTTGGGTGCCATCAAGTCAATCTCTACTAATAGCAACCCCATGGGACAGAGCAGAGCTGCCCCATAGTGTCTTCTAGGCTGTAATCTTTATGGGAGCAGATCACTGGGTCTTTCTCTGGTGGAGCTGCTGGGAGGGTTCAAACTGCCAACCTTTCAGTTAGCAGCCACACGCTTAACTGTTATACCACCAGGGCTCCTTGGGAATTTAATATACTGAGCTATTAAGTGATAACAATGAAGCTCTGTTTTTCAAAAACATTTTACAAGACTAAGGCTCTTCCCTCAAAGTGTCAACTTCCTTTCTTAGGGCAGAGATGATATGTCTTCACAAGTTCTTTCTAAACAGCCCTTCATAACCCAGGAAAAGTCAAATAATGGTAACGATAAAAATAACAATAATGACATACTGTCCCATCAACTATCAAGAAGAGGAGGACTGAAAGATAAGCCTGAGGACAACTGATTGAAACATATGTTCTGTTAATTCCATTAATTCATTCGACAGATACTGCAATATACCAGATACTATGCAGGAGCTGTAGATATAACAATGAGTAAAGGAGACATGGCCTGCCCTCATAGAGTTTACAATCTTATTAGATTTATCCCTTGTTCTAGTCAGACAAGATCTTTTTCCCATCCCAAGCTAGTATTTAAAATATATTCACTATCCCTCCAAGCTTTAGTCATTCACAAATGTTTTAAGCATCCCTCCTATATAGTCATTTAATTAACAAAACATTGAAAAGAAGAAATGTCAAGACAAAGTCCCATTGTACTCCATTTAGAAATCTCTCTCCAAGCCGATATTCATTACTCAGCACCATGTGTATATATTTATCCAACTAGAGAGTCTACCTTAATTATACCAGAATCCAAACTACATTTCTACAAAAGTTACAAGAAATTCTACCAAATTCCTTACTGAAATCGTATTTCCCTGATCTAGTATTATAAGAAAGAGATAGTAATGTGCTCTCAGAACTGACACCAAAATAGAACTACTTCATTTCTCTGTGCTTACCAACCATCTCTTTCATAAATCATTCTAGAAACTTCCTGGTGATCATCAAGCTCACCAACCTTCATTTTGTGGACTCCCATATGCTTCACATGTAGTTAAAAATATCAGAATTCTGTTTTTTCTAACCATGCCTCCATTTCTAATCTCATCTACTCACGACAGGTAAAATTTGCCTCCAAAACAGTGCTTCCCCACTTTTTTCACATCATGACACACAGAAAAAAATGACAGACTGTATAGAATACTGGGAAAAATATTTGGGGCTATTTCAGAGGCGAGTCAACCAGCTGTAGGTCTCAGTGGACCCAGGCTCCATGCTACGTCAGCCTCTCTTCTCAGGTCTGAGGGAAATCAATGGTTTGGCATACCTGTAACACATTCATTCCCTAATATATCGGTTGGTGAACACAGCCCTAGATAAGATTTTTTTTAATAAACAAAAATTAGTATTTTGTGAATTCTGCAGTAACCTAAAAAGCTTAAATCACCCTGAGGTAACCAAAAATCAGCATTGGAAATTGCTAGCTAGATGGATAAAACCAGGTATATTTCTAAGGTACCTCACAGCACACCTTAAATCTCATAATTAATAACTTACGATATTAATGATGACTCACTGAAAAGTATAAAATTGTACTCAAAATCTTCATACCAGACCAACCAACTGCTGTCGAGTTGATTCCAACTCATGGCGACTCCATGTGAGTCAGAATAGAACTGTGTACCGTAGGGTTTTTTGCTTTTTGGGTTTTGTTTTTTTTTTTTTTTCAGAAGTAGACCGCCTAGACTCTCTTCCAAGGAACCTCTGGGGAGACTCAAACTTCCAACCTTTTAGTTAGCAGCCAAAAGCACTAACTATTTGCAATACCCAGGAACACCTAATGTCTTCATAGTAGCTACAAAATCAATCTTTTTAAAAGTAGCATTTCTGTTCCTCTAGATTTAAAGGTCCTCACTAGTTTCTGATCCCACTCCCATACTATAATCGTCATTTGTAGTGTTCTTTGACAAGAATACACTTTCTAGATAAACTGTCTTGTGTTACAACGGGCTGAAGTTCAGAGTGCATACCTACTCCTTATTACACGTCTTCTAAATAAAAAATTTTTTTCCTGATTAAGAGAAAAATAATTGCAAATGAAAAAAATCACACTTCTAAGTCAAGGAAATCATGATCATCTTATTTAAAAGCACAGATAATACATAATAATTTCCTGAATTTGTACACGCCTTCACTTTTAAAAGAAAAACCTATTCTAGAAACAAATAAATACAAACTGAGATGAAAATTTAAAATATTTAAATATCTTTTAAACTGCTTCATATCTTTCTTAAAAAACTAATAACAAATTTTCACTACAGTATATTTAAAATCATATTAATCAAACGTACATAAAAGAAAGATGAGCAGTGCTAATTTAATTAACTGTGCAAAAACTGGTTGGATTTAAAATATTGCTAAAAGAAAATGAAGTGTATACCTAAGCTACTACACGACCTCATTAGTATCTTCTCCTACTAAATTCTTAAAAAATGTAAACTGAAGCATATTTTCTAAAGAATTGATTTTTTTAAATAAGATATTAGTATAATGCAAATGAATGAGATATTAAAGTGTTATCAATAAAAAAGCTACTAATAAACATGGACAACTACTTAATTCATTTAAAAAATACTACTATTTATTGACCACCTACATGTCAGGCACTCTTCTAGGATTTTGGGATACATCAGTGAACAAAAGAAGACAAAGAAAACCTGCGTTCGTGGAACTTACATTCTAAAATTCAATCTTTTTCTTCTTTTCCTTTTGGTCCCGTATTTTTTACGTCATTAAAAACCAAACCAAACCCACTGCCATCCAGTCAATTCCGAATCATACCGACCCTATAGGACAGAGTAGAACTGCCCCACAGGGTTTCCAAGGCTGTAAATCTTTACAGAACCAGACTCCCACATCTTTCTCCCACAGAATCACTGGTAGATTCAAAACACTAACCTTTTGATTAGCAGCTGAGCACTGTCAATAAACAGCTAAGATTTCCCCTCATCATTTCCCTATATAGTCACCACAGTCTCCATCATTTTAAGCTACAAAGTAGTAAGTAGAATTTTCTTTCCCTTAACTATGTACTCCAACAAAGAACAGGACTTCAGCTTCCTAATGCCAATATAAATGACTTGTGAGTTAACTAACCACTATCTCATAATAATTTTAGAATTTCAACAGTCACAAAGTTCTACCTTTTTAGTAAATAAAATTTGCTTTTAAATAATAAAATAAAAGCTAAAAATTATCATTAAACAAAAAGTAAAGCTCATATCTTATCAAAGTTCCCATGTCAAGGTAGCATAAATTTTTCTTAATTTCGTACCTAATTTTTTGGCAATTGCAAAAGCTTCGTCTGGTGACTTTGCCACGTGTCCTTTGGGAATGGAGACACCAGCTTCCTGCAACAATTCCATGCTCAGGTATTCATGTAGTGCGAGATTCCTTTGCTGCTGCTGCTGTACTTGGAGCCCAACGTTGTTAAACAATCCAGAACTTCCCAGACCCTGGGGAAATTGAGGACATATTTATATCACAGTGATTTGGCAGTTAATCTTGTTAAAAACATCTTCTTAAAATACTTTGTTTATTGGTGAATGGCATCTGGGTCTTAAAAGCTAGCAAGTGGCCATCTAAGATGCATCAGTTGGTCCCAACCTACCTGGAGTAAAGGAGAATAAAGAACACCAAAGTCACAAGGAAAGCATCAGCCCAAGAGACAGAACGGGCCAAGTAAACTAGAGACTGCAAAAGCCTGAGGCCAGAAAAACTAGATGGTGCCCAGGTACCACCAAAGACCACCCTGACAGAGAACACAACAGAGTCCCTGATAGAGCAGGAGAAAAGTGGGGTACAGAACTCAAATTCTAGTAAAAACACCAGCCTTAACGGTCTGAGACTGGAGGAATCCCAGAAAGCATGGCCCCCGGACTCTCTGTCAACCCAGCACTAAAATCATTCCCTAGGCCAACTCTTCACTCAAAGATTAGACTGGACTATGGGACATAAAATGATACTCGTGAAGAGTGTGCTTCTTAGCTCAAGTAGATTCATGAGACTAAATGCGCAGCTCCTGTCCAGAGGTGAGATGAGAAGGCAGAGAGGGTCAGGAACTGGTTGAATGGACCCAGGAAATCAGGGGTGGAAAGGAGGAATGTGCTGTCACAGTATAGGGAGAGCAATCTGGGTCACATAACAATGTATGTATAAATTTTTGTATGAGAGACTAACTTGAATTGTAAACTTTCACTTAAAGCATAACAATAAAATAAAATTAAAAAATACTTTTATATAGAGTACGTGGCTGTTCACAATTGTAACAAAACTGTTATATTAAACCATCAAAATACAATATTAAGAGTACCTGAATTATAACATAAAACTAAATGCTAACCTACCAGCTAAATATCAAACATTATTCTTGTAGTTTTTAACTACTTCTTCATCATCTCTAGTCCTTATCTTTCGTTTGAGTTTTACTACCGTATCTCCACAGGAACCCTGGGGGTGCAGTGGTTAAACACTCGGCTGCTAACCAAAAGGTCAGCAGTTGGAACCCACCAGTCACTCTGCGGAAGAAAGCTGTGGCAGTATGCTTCCATAAAGATTACAGCCTTGGAAACCCTTTTGGAGCAGTTCTACCCTGTCCTATAGGGTCACAATGGGTTCAGGTTACCACATCTCCAACACCTACAGGACATTTCTACCTCAGTGTCAAATTCAGCAGGGCCAAAATCCATCCCCTTTTCCACCAAACCAAAAAGCCTTCCCAATTTCCTTCTATAATTCCTCCAGCACCTACCCAATTGTCTAGCACTAAATATGTGCTAACTGAATGATCTGGTACCAGTACTCTTCCATTCACTCAAGACTCAAAACCCTTGCATCATCAGTAGAGGACACTGTGGTATGCTTGCCAGCTTCCGGCACAAAGGAGTGTTTGTTGCTGACAGCACTCGGCTGAATCCATTCATTGAAGCCTCCTTGCCCAAAGTCACGCCCTCTTCCCATCAGCAGCCTGTGTTCAATGACTAGTTGATGAGGCGTGGGAGAGAGACATAAAGGCCCAGTATCAGTTGCCGTCTAGTCAACTCCAAATCATGGTGACCTCCTGTGTATCACAGTAGAACTGTGTTCCATAGGGTTTTCAATGGCTGATCTTTTGGAAGTAGATCATCATGCCTTTCTTCCAAGGCACTTTTGGGTGGACTTGAACCTCCAAGCTTTTGGTTAGCAGTTAAGTGAATTAACTATGTACACCACCCGGGTGTATCGGTCATTCAGTGGTAGAATTCTTACTTTCCATGCAGGAGACCCAGGTTTGATTCCTGCCAATGCACTTCATGTGCAGCCACCACCTGTCAGTGGAGGTTTGCATGTTGCTATAATGCTGAACAGGTTTCACGAGAGCTTCCAGACTAAGATGGACGAGAAAAAAAGCCCTGGTGGTCTACTTCTGAAAATCAACCAATGAAGACCCTATGGATCATACCAGTCCAATTCCCAACCAGTTATGGGGATGGCTCAGGACCAGGCAGCATTTCATTCTGTTGTGCATGTGGTCACCATGAGTTGGGCTCCAACTCAAAAGCAGCTAACAAGAAAGCAATAATACAAGAACTACTGCTACAGACAGTAGATGAATCGTACAAACATACCATTGAGCAAAAGAAGCCAAACACAAGCGTTCATAATATATAATCCCTTTTTACATATTTCAAAACAGTTAAAATTAGCCTATGGTGACAGAAGTCAGAATTAGTGGTAACCTTCTGTGGAGGAGCACTGACAGGGAGAGGTACAGGGGAGACTTCCAAGGGCTGGAAATGTATCTTGATGTGGATGGCAGCTACTCAGTGTACACATACATGAAAATTAATCTAAGTAACCACTTGATTACACTTTACTGTATATGAATAATACCTCAAAATAAAAATTAAATAAGGGGAGGTATGCAATATCTAGCACAAGCCTGTCAAAAACAGTTATTCACGCAAACATTTTGTGAGTGCCTATATAATAGGTGCTAGGTGCTAGGGGGCAAAAAACGATTAAGACAGACTTGGTCCTGGCCACAGAGTTCACAGATATGTAAATAAACAACTAAGATATATATAAGAGCAATCTTAGAATCACACACTAGGTGGCATCTACCCAGCTGGATCAATCAGAAAAGGTACCAGAGGCCCGATATCGGATTTTTTTTAAAAAAAGTCTAACAGCTCTAAAGGATACTTTTGGGACAACTCAGAAAATCTGAATCTAAAGTATATACTAGATAACAGTATTACATCGATGTTAAATTTCCTAAGTGTGATAATCATAATTGTGACTATTTAGGAGAATGTCCTTATTGTAAAGAGATATATGATGAAATATCTTGGGGTGAAGTGTCAGAATACCCGCAACTTATTCCCAAATGGTTCAGCAAAAAATAAATGTGTGCAATTTTATACACACACATACGTGTTCATGCATGCACTAGCACACACAAAAAACTTTTTAAAGATCAAGCAAATGTGCAAAATGTCAACAAATGTAGGTGAAGACAATACAGGTGTTAGGTGTACTACTGCAACAACTCTACCTGCCTGAAATTTTAATAAATAAAAGTTGAGGGTAAATCATAACACAAATTATAAAAAGATTTTTATGGTTTCTCTCAAAACCTGTATTTATAAAGAATTAGTACTCATAAGGTATTGCTCATGGCTTTGATGACAATTTAAAGGCTTTTTAATACCTGAAGTATTTTGATAATCCTTTCCTTGTACCACCAGAAGACGTAACTTCAAAGCTTTGAATTATGCTGGTAATACTGACTCCTGCACAATCACAGGATTCCCACAATTACAATATTTATCTTTGTTGATATTACCCCTTAGAAGATTCCTATTGCCAAAAGGCCACCTATTGCTTGCTAAATCCCCACACCACCACCCAATCATCACGCTAGTTTAAATAATACTTACTCAAAAGTGGAAAAATGTTGTTACTGGGGACTGTGCTCCTCAACCACAAAAAAAAAAAAAAGAAATCCCTTTATTTAATCTGCTTGTAACCTGAACTGTCTTCATCGAAGATACACCGCAGGAAAAGATATAGAGAAATCAGAAGAGGGACAGAGAACCCAACTAAATGTTGAAGAGAATTTGCTAAACTCCATTTGTGACCATGAAGAAGTTTCCTAAGACTCTGCTGTGTCCTCATCTACAAAAGTAAGAAATTAGAAAACGCGTGGCGGAGGAGTCGATTCCGACTCACAGTGACGCTATGGCACAGAGTAGTAACTGCCCCACTGGGTTTCCAAGGAGCAGCACGCAGATTCGAACTGCCAACCTCGTGGTCAGCAGCCGAGCTATTAACCACTGCGCCAACAGGGCCCCAAAGAGACTAGAAAGTTGTTCCAAACTCTAAAGCTGTATTACTTCATGGGAGAGAAGCTTTTATAAAGATTAACTCAATATATTAGGCATTTCCAGATGGAAAAACAAAGGATTTTAATAGTTTCCAAAAGAATAAAGAGTATGATGAAAACAAATTTGTTCACCAAATCCTCCTTTCTGAAAAACTAAGACAGCACACTTTAAAGGAAGGAAGTTCAAGGCAAAAAAAAAAAATCATTTCTCATCTTAGAAGCAAACTCACAGAACTCATTACCTCTAAGCTGAAAACAAGAATAGCTTTAAGAGAGGACCAAAAAAAAAAAGGTCTGAATCAATTCATAAATGGCACGTCTGGGAAGTTAGTTCAAAACATAACCTAAAACTCTGGGATTGACTTCTGACTGACACCCTTCCACGAGTTTCTTGGGGTCAACGTTGGGAAGAACAGGCCAATTTGTACAGTTACTGAAGAAATTGTAGAGCAGACACGGGCACTGCAGCCAGACAGTTCTGGATTAAACCTCAGCTTTCACTTTACGTGATCTAACCCAAATCAGCCACAGTTTCTTCATCAATGATGAGTGTTAATGACTCCCTTACAGTGTTGCTGAAAAATCTAAATAAGATTAAAGTGCTTAGCCAAAAAAAAAAAAAAAGTGTAGCTATTTCTCTATGGTCGGCCTGAAAACTTTCTTCCCCACTTAATATGCTAGAAAGCATCATATTACCACTCTTAAAAAGCAGTTCACAACTATTTGGGAGAGGAGAACAATTTCCCTGCCTGGCCCGAGAAAAGGCAAGTCAGCAAGCACTGCTGGTCCTCGGAATTCACTCTCATCTATGACAGCTCCCAGTAGACACCAAAGTACGTGTGAAGGGCATTTCCCCCTCCCCAAAGAGGGGCCACGGAAGCCTCGGCCCAAGGCGCCGGACGCAGAAATGGCAGCAGAGACTGCCCTAGCCCTCAGTCTCCACTCAGAGCCCACCCGGCTCCCCGCCGCCCGCTCGGAAACTGAGCGGGGAGCCGCGGCCGAGTCTCAGGAGCCCCCGGCCGACGGAGGACCAGAGAGGAGCAGCGTAAACATAGGCCTGCTCGCTCCTGGTGGCCAGCACGCCGGGCAAGTCGCCCGCAGTCCCGGCTGGGCACCCGGGAAATGTCACCGCAAGAGAAGTGACCGCCAACCGGGGCTAGGGTCCCCTCACACCTCGCCCACAAGCACCAGCTCTCCCACCTAGCCCTTTCTCCTGCCGACTCTCGAGGAGAGAGCGGGTTGGGCCGCAATACCTGGGCGGCTGCCTGCAGCGCCGTCCGGGACCCATGGCTCCTAAGGGCGGCGGCAGCAAACTGCCGGCCGTAGAACATGCAGGCCGCCATTTCTGAGTCCGACCCCGTCCCCTCCGCGCTGCACGCAGGCGCAGGGAGGCGGGACGGCCGGCGGCAAGGCAGCTCCAGACGCGCTCCCCACCCCTGGCCCGTCCCATCCGGGGCGGGGCCTTTGGTTAACTCAGCCGTTGCCGGACTCCGGGGCAAAAGCAGGAACTGTCCAGCTGACGCGAAACTGGGCTTGGCCGGCAGAAAACAAACTTGGATCTTTGGAATAGAGCACCCCAGCCTCAATGTCCTACCTGCGGACAGAAAGCAACTTGAACACCTCCTACCGAAATGTAATGGAAAGACGACAGCGCTGCCACCTGTGTCAACTTCTTTGATCCTCATTCAAGACCTAATTACTGAATGTGTGCAGTGAAAGAGGACGGCCTGCCAGTGGTTAACCAATCATGAGTGCATCTTGGAATCACTCGAGACGCTTTTTTAAAAGCCCATACCCTGGCGCCTTCTGCGGGGTGGGGTCAACACATCTGTATTTCTTCAAGTTCTCAAGGTGCTTTAGATGCACACATTAAGCCTTGAAAAACCCCAAAATGACAAGGGCTCCATCATAGAACTGATCGCTGGTGAAATGACTGGGCGCCTATTCTACTCTGGGCATCGGGCTATATAAATATAAAATATGTGGAAGCAAATTCTGCGGTCAGGATCTTAACCTAGGAGCAGACAGGCATGGATGACACGCATTTCTTCTGATGCACAGTGGCCCGAGCCATGGAACAGCACTGTATAAAGAAAAAGTGAATCTAAGTAAAGCGGTCTATCGACTTTGGGGCAGCTCCCCAAATCTCTGAGTTCTTAATAGGTCTTAAAGGCAGGACATTTTTAAGGACCATTGGCAGTAACGGAGACTTACCTCGAGGCTTCTTTAGTCACGAATAGGTACTCTGTGCAATTAGAAACAGGGAGGGGGGAAACAGACATTAGTAGTTCAGTTGTCTCTTGCTCCTCCACCCTCCTACTGCCCACCCTAGCCAATCAAATAAGGTGGGGACAACTGGCCAAAAAGCTGGGGCTGGAAACCCTGGTGGGGTAGTGGTTAAGAACTACAGCTACTAATCAAAAGGTCGGCAGTTCAAATCCACCAGGCGCTCCTTGGAAACCCTATGGGGCAGTTCCGCTCTGTCCTATAGGGTCTCTATGAGTCAGAATCGACTGGACGGCAACGAGTTTTTTTTTTTTTTTTTTTATTTCTGGTTTGGGGCCTACCAGTTTCTGTTAGGAACACATATCCCATCAGATATGAATACCAATACCAACTGCCATCCAGTTGGTTCCGACTCATGGCAACCCCATGTATGTATGTCAGAGTAAAACTGTGGTCCATGGGGTTTTCAATGGCTGATTTTTCAGAAGTGGATTGCCAGGCCTTTCTTCTGAGGTGCCTCTGGGTCGACTCAAACCTCCAGCCTTTTCGTTAGCAGCCAAGTGTGTTAACTGTTTGCACCACCCAAAGACTCCCAGATATGAATAGGATGTATTTGTTGTCCAGCCTACTAACTCTGTCTTTCAATTGTTAGCAAAGACAGTGCTAGCACATACAAACAACCATCAGAATCCAAAACCAATCTTTTAAAAGGCACATGGATAAACCTGGAATAAGTCAATGTACTAAAATAAGATGTAAGGCTGACTGGGTTAACTTTGATTCACACACCTCAAGTTCTGGTCACAGGTGATCCAGAAAATAGAACATCTCCATTCTAGGTCTTCTCTGGTACTAGCTTAAAAACAGGAACAGCAGCAGCTGTTCAGGAGCTTGAGTGATAAAGAAAACAAGCAGGACCCGTGGTTCCTGGCTTCTTTGGAAGCCTAACCAAGGGGCAGTGGTGCGCCCCTCCCTCATTATCCCTTGATTGTTTCAGAGCTCCATGTGTTTTGTTACCTCCTTCAAAGAATTCAGTAAGGTCAAATAATCAGAGCCTCCTACCCGCTAACTTTGTTACATCATTATATGTTCACCAAAAACCTGTTTGCTATAAACCTGAATGTTTATAGCAGTTTTATTCGTAATAGCCAGAAACTGGAAACAACCCAGATGTCCTTCAATGGGTGAATGGCTAAACGCACTGTGGTACGTTCATATCTTGGAATATGAATGGCACGTGCTTCTGGTGGACAGTGGCCGGATCCATGGAACAGCACTGCATAGATCACTAGCTCTGCAATGAAAAGGAATGTGCTGTTTATATACTCACTATTATGCTCAGTAGAGCCCTGGTGGCACAGTGGTTAAGGGCTCAGCTGCTAACCAAAAGGTCCGCAGTTCAAATCCACCAGCCGTGCCTTGGAAACCCTCTTCTATTCTAGCCTGTAGGGTATCGACTCGATGACAGTGGGTTTTTTTGGTATTATGCTCAGTAAGAAAAACAAGTCAATCTCAAAAGCTTACATATTATACAATTCTATCTATATAACATTCTTGAAAAGACAAAATTGTAGAAATAGAGAACAGATTAGTTACCAGGGGTTAAAGAGGAGGTGGGGAAGGTGAGGTCCCTGGGTGGTGCAAAAGATTTGCATTTGACTACTAACTTAAAGGTTGGTGGTTTGACCCCACCCAGCCGCACCATGGAAGAAAGTCCTGGTGATCTGCTTCCATAAAGATTGCAGTCATGAAAACCCTATGAAGCAGTTCTAGTCTGTAACACATTGGGTTACCATGAAGGAGAATTGACTCCACAGCAATGGGTTTGGTTTTTTTGGTTTAGGGGGCAGGTGAAATGTGGGTGTGACTATAAAAGGGCAACATAAGGGATTTTCTGGGTAATGGAACTGTTCTATCCTTCGACAGTATCAATGTCAATATCCTGGTTGGGATGATACTTGTTACAAACTAGGTAAAAGGGATTGCTCTGTATTGTTTCTTACAACTGCATGTGAATTTACAATTATCTCAAAGCAGAAACTTTAATTTTAAAAGTCCAAAAAAAGAAACCACAGTATTGGATTATAACCCACTGTGTAAGATAGAAATGCATGAGTCCATAATGGTATAATTTAATATTTGACTAAATACGTGCGGAAAAGAGTTCATTCTTCTTACAGAGGATGCCAGCAGCTAAGTATAGACAGAATAGTGGAATTGGAATCTTCTCATCTGGCCACCATCATAGAAATGATTAATTAGCACGGGAAGCATCACTGGATACTGAAACGGGTGGGTGAAGGTTTGGTAGGGAGTAGAATATTCACATGGTCTCAGTGTATCTCCCCATAAAGTGTTCATTGGATGCAAAAAGTAAAAGAAGTAACTTAGCAGTGGGAAGACCTAGCGGACACCAAAGTGAGCAAGTTTAGCATCATAAAATTCGGACAAAAGATAATCATGTGCCACATGATAGGATACAATGGGAAGAATATGGCATCGTTTCTGTGATACTCCTGCCAAAGATTCATAGCCTGAATTTAGTCCTAAGGAAATGTCAGACCCAGATTGGAAGACCTTGTGAAAAATGGTCAGCCTTTTATCTTCAAAGGAGTCAAGCCTAGGAAAGTCACAAAAAGACTGAGGAACAATTACAACTGAAGGAGACTGGAGAGACAGAACAACTAACCGGATCCTTTTACTATGAAGGACATGGCTGGGACAATGAGAAACTTAAATCAAGTCTGTGAGTTGGATGTTAATTTCCTGCTTTTCATGCCCATGCTATGGCTGTGTAAGAGAACGTCCTCGTTTATAGACATGTGCACTGAAGTATTTGGTAGTGGTGAGGCATCGTATCTGCAGCTTTCTTTGCCTTGAGCGATTCAGAATAAAAACTTCCTTTTTACTATTCTAGAAACTTTCATGTAAATTTGAAATTATTTTAAAACAACAATTATCTATCTGCCTTAGTCATCTAGTGCTGCTATAACAGAAATACCACAAGTGGATGGCTTCAACAAACAGAAGTTTATTCACTCACAATCTAGTAGGCTGCAAGTCGAAAATTCAGGGCGTCAGCTCCAGCGGAAGGCTTTCTCTCTCTGTCAGCTCTGGATGGACAAAGGTCCTTCTCATCAATCTTCCCCTGGACTAGGAGCTTCTCCACGCAGGAACCCCGGGTCCAAAGGACATGCTCTGCTCCCGGTGCTTCTTTCTTGGTGGTATGAGGTCCCCAACTCCCTGCTTGCTTCCCTTTCCTTTTATCTCTTATAGGATAAAAGGTGGTGCGGGCCACATCCCAGGGAAACTCCCTTTACATTGGATCAGGGATCTGACCTGGGTAAGGGTGGTGTTACAATCCCACCGTAATTCTCTTTAACATAAAATTACGATCACAAAATGGAGAACAACCACACAATACTGGGAATCATGGCCCAGCCAAACTGATACACATTTTTTTGGGGAACATAATTCAATCCATGACGCTGTCCTAAAGACATTATGCAAATGAAATGAATTAACATGTATAAAAGTACTGGAACAGTGCCTGGCACTTAGTAAATGCTCAGTAAATGTTAGCACAAAAAATAAAGTACCACCAAAAGGTCAACGATTACTCTAAAGCAAAGATGAGAAGATAAGGGGGCAGTGAAACTAGAGCACTGGAAACAGAACAACCAGAACACAAAGAGAATGTTGACATGTTATGAAAGATGTAACTAATGTCACTGAACAATTCATATAGAAATTGTCAAGTGGAAACCTAATTTGCTATGTAAACTTTCATCGAAAACAAAATAAAATATTTTTTTTTTAAAAAAGTAAAGAATGAAAAAAATAACTTAGTATTTCTGGAATCCAGATCTATTTCTGTTAGAATGGCCTCCACCAAAATAAGGTTATATTTAGATTCTCACCTTAAGTAGAAGACTAGGACCAAGTTGTTACAAGATAAGACGATGTTGTATTTCTCTATCTGTTATTCAAGGCAGCTGCCTACTGTAAGTAACTCCCACTCCTACTGCCTTGACTATTAATATTAACCAATTGCCATGGAGTCATTTCTGACACATGGCGACCGCATGTGTGTCAGAGTAGAACTGTGCTCCATAGG